GGAAAGTGAAGCAAAGTAGAAGAGTAGAGACAAACAATTATGTGGGAAGCATGTGATGTTTTGAAATATTAAAAAAACAAGTTACTGTGTGAACATTGCTGGAACTCCTCCAAAGACTGTAGAAGGGGCCTTTGCAAATGAGAAGAGCCAAAGATTATGCTTCATTATTTCATGATAAAGTTGCCTTTGTGCTTAATGAGGTTTTTCTTCTTAGGGTACAATATTTATTGTATGGGTGTTATGCCTGAAATAGTATAATAAGATGGTAGTAGTTTAATGTTTAAGAGTTATAAGGTTCCATTTCCTTGAATAAGGCCTTTATCTTTTACAGACAATTTGAATTTTGTCTTTATTTATTTTGAACTACTGGCTCCTAATTTATTCATGCAGTTAACCAACAAATACGACATATGCAAGGTAGCATGCTAAACCCCACAATGAATCAACGATAATTCTGATTGAGTAAAACTGTATTTCATTTCTGAGAAGTTGTTCCTGCAAAGAAACCATTTTGATTCCATTAATTTAGTGATTTTTGTGGAATAGTATCATTTTATAAGAGTGACTCACATTTGCTTGTTAAGGGAGAATATTTCAGCTAAGAGTTACACTATTCATCTGCAAAACTAACAGCGTTAAGAGTGGAAAGAACCCAGGGCGCCTGGGTGGCTTAGTCGGTTAAGCTTCCGACTTTCGCTTAGGTCATGATCTCGCGGTTTGTGGGTTCGAGCCCCGCGTCGGGCTCTGTGCTGACTGCCAGCTCAGAGCCTGGAGCCTGTTTCAGTCTGTGACTCCCTCTCTCTCTGACCCTCCCCTGCTCACTCTGTCTCTCTCTCCTCTCTCCTAGAAATAAAATAAAACATTAAAAAAAAAATTTAAAAAAAAAAAAAAGAGTGGAAAGAACCCCTCTGCACAAAGAGAATCAGAGGCCTTGGATGAACGTGGGAGGAACTTACGGCATTGTGCATGGTTATCCTCTAATTAATCAAGATAGATTAAAAATAGTATTCTGTGTTTAAAGAAAGCATCAGAATAATGTTCCTAGTTACCCCTTCTACTTTTTAACAATTCTCACTTTCAGACAGTTGTTTTATTTGTAATAAAATGGCCCAAAACTGAATTTTGGAAAGGAATACAGGTGGCTGATGAGAGCTCTCAAAAAGGTACCATGAATTAAAGCAATGGTATTGAGGCTTGTAGTTTTGAAAATCTCCAATAGCTAACAGGGGAAATGAGGTAAAGTACTCTGCTTTACACAGGATTCCTATTAAGACCCTGGAAATGTGCAAATTTGTAAATATTCAATGAGCCTCTCCAAAATCAAGTGCAACTGCACCTCTGTTTCTCAGAAGCACCTTCTTTCTCATTCAGATCTCTTGGCTACCCACTGGTGAAATATTTTACTTTGTAGACACTACTCTCTTATTCAACAAAGTTTTTTCATTGTCCCTCATAATATTGAAGACAACACACTAAGAATCCAGAGATGAGCAAAGAGCCACAGTCCTTGACCTTAAGGAACTCAGTCTAGGAAGAGACAAACATGAGAATATGTGTGAAGAACTGTAGTGGTGGAATTATGCCCACCCAGAGAGGAGCAGATTAATAGGTATCACTAAACAAGGAAGAAATGGAGTTTTACCCACCCTGACTATAGAAGCATTTTAAAATAACTTTTTACGTTAGGAAATAGAATACTAAAGCTCTTAGGGAAGTGTGTTCTATTAGATTACATCTCCAAAATCTAGAACAACACAAATCCCCTAAGTGGATACCATTTTATGCCCTTGACCTAGGAATCTATTTTTATCTCTCACTCTTCTTGTGAACTGTATCTCATTCTATAAAATTCAATGCACAGATCAAAACCCATGGGAAACTCTCCAAGACAGCACTAATTACTTTCCTTCTGATTCAGAGTATCTTGAACAGAATTCTACTGATGCTTTTATCATATAATATAAATCTTATTGTTTACTTATTCAAATCACCAACTAGATACAGGGTTTGTTGTGAGTAGAAATGGCTCTGTCTTTATAGCAAGCATGCTGTGCAAATTAGTTGAATTGAGAAGTGCAAGTCATTTAAAAAAAAAACTTTTTAAATATTCATCTCTTTAATAGTAACTATTTCATCTGCAGAAAAAAGGAATAGCAGTATTTTAATTAGTTGTCTATTAGGGCATTAAAGTAGTAATATACCCAGTGTTATAAAATGAGCCTTAGAAGGGAGGATCAGGGACTGAAGTAATGGTAGAGCCAGACCTAAAACATGGGCAGAAGAAGTAGGGAAAACATATAGCATGCAGATGAGCAACTTCGTGCAATAAACTGACAAATATTTCTAATTAACCTGGAGGCTGGCCCCAACTCCCCAGATTAATTTTAAGCTCAGGAAGTCAGGGGCTGAATGTCATGACTTTTATCTCAAAAAATGGCAGACGAGCTACCGGAAATGGCAAACTTTTCAAAAGAAATTTTGAGGCATTTTATAATTATTTCCTCTAATTAGTAATTATCTATATGTAGAATTAGATGAGCATTATTGCTCTAACTTTAAAGACTATCTTTGGCACTTAAATATTTCTTATTTACTTATTCATCTTGTATTTTTACTTTAAGAGGTGTTTGGTTTTTCCTTGAAATGCAGAGGTAGCTTTAAAAAAAACGCTTTCTACTTAAAAAAAAATGTCATTGATACCACCTGGTAAATATAATCCTATAATTATGGGACAATTATATATTTAACATATATATAACTATAACTATGTATATATACAAAACTATTTTGTAGTTAAATGCACCTGCATTTTGACCTTTTCATGTTTCCTTGGGGTATTTTTCTTTACGCATTGTTATTTTAAGGATAACAATACATCAGCTTATTAAAAATTTTAAGCACAAACAAGAAGACAGGAGCAGACGAAGGACTATAATCTTGATGCGTTAGTAAGGGCCTTGTTTCTACTGTCTTTAATGTTATCAGTTTTGTTACATTTTCTCAGTATTTATGTTAATTACAGTATTTGTTTCAACCACTCCCTAAATACATCAGTAAATATGGAAGTAGAATTAGCACTCTTGAAAATTTGAGTTGCATATACCTGGTGTTTTCAATCTGAAAATAAGGTTAGTAACAACAAATAAAATGTGATTGTTGAAAAACCGTGAGAGAAGAAACTATGACTTATGGAGTTTCTTCTCACTAGGAGGGCAGGTCAGCCTCTGGAATGAGTCCTCAAAATGAGTCGCTGAGGTTTTTCACATACCTTGGATGATCTGTGTGTGTACAGATGCATGTATATAGGAATATGTATTTATGTGTGTACGTACATGTGTTAATACATATATATAATTTATACATAAATATTTATATACTATAGACAAATATAATGTGTATATATGCTACATATAATCTATTTTCATAATAAATTATATACGTTGATATTATCAGTATATTACATATATGTTTATGTATTTTACATGTGAATATATGGCCAAATAACAATAAAAATATAAAAATATTTTAACCAAATAACAATAAAAATATAAAGATATTTTTACTTTTATTTTATATATACTTCTATTATATGTACATACATATAAACTTTATGTGAGTGGAAGCTATTTTTTAAAAATTTAGAGAAATCAAAGCATGCATTTATGTCTTTAAGTAATGCACTTGAACTACTGTACTTGATTTATCAGTTTAAGTAAATCCTTACTGATTCCTTGCTATAAAATATGAGCCAACTTAAAGCTTTCTCTCACCTGCATTCCACTGCTCCATCTTTTGTCTTTTGTTAGTGATTTAAGTTATTTCTACATCTCAAAATTCCTGTTGTTATGCTATGATTTGCCCTTGAAAACATGGCCCAAATCAAAAGCTATATTACATTATATAAGTGTTTTTCTCTTGCTATAACATATTATTCTCTTCCAGAATGAGAGAAACATCTACTGTTGGCAGCAAAAACAAGTAAAATTCATGAAACAAAATAAATGATAATAATCTCTTCATAATAACAGGGCGTTCAACATGGCAACAGCTTTGTAAAAAGCCAGGTTCTCAGAGAGTTCCGGAAACAACAGTGTTACTGATCTATAAAGTATTTATTTACTCCGTGAATGGCAGTAGGTCCTTTGTCCTCTAAGGGTGGGTTGTCAACTGATATATGTTTGGATCAATACCATTTTGAAGGAGTCACCAAGTTAATTTATCCTTTTGGTTTCTTCTCTATATAGATTGACAGCTATGCAGACAGCCAAAGTGGAAACCTGTGTTTCTTAAGATGAGATAGTTTGTAGGGAATTCTAGGTCACTCTAATTACTATCACTCTAACATAAACATAATGGCAAGTTGCCTTTTGATTCAGAGCCCGATGGTATGAAGGGTTTTAAAAAATGAAACAAGGTTTCAATCCACTGTTCACAGAGGGTTGAATTGACAGTCACATGGGCAGAAGTAGGCACAAGCTGTGAGTAAAGCTGATAGAAATAAGACATCTTAATTTCTATTTTCTCCTAATTGTGACTGTCATCCTGATTAATCACAGGCTATGTCATAAGTATCTCCAGATTGAGGGACAGGTGACATTAGAATAATGCCTTTGATCAAAACTCGTGTGCTAATGGTTTTAAATGCAATTGATCCTCTTGGACCTTCCGTTGTCACACAGAAAGAAGGTTCCTGCTTGAGCCTTTTGAGCCCTGTTTTGTTGGAGCATCTGCTTCCATTGGCTCTGACAGAAGCACTTTACTAAGGGACTCCCACTCCCCTCTTTTCCTTTCAAATTATTCAGAAATGTTTCCCTCCTTCACTTAGCTACCTGCATTGGAGCAAAACTGTGTTCAGTGATTTCTCCAGAGATGAAGCTTAGCTGGCAAATCACCACAGACAACACAGATGTGAGAAGAAGTCATCTAAGAATCTGAAACTGTAAACAAGAAAAAAATCTATACCCAAGAAACTTAAGCAAAGACATTATCCATGTAAATACCTTGCCCAGCTCTTCAGAGATCACCCAGAAAAGGGGCTTTTATTTTCTTGCACTGAGTGGATGCTTAAACTCTGCTTCTTGATAATCTAGTGATGACTGCTGTAGCTATGCCTCTGTAAAAGAAAATACAATGTAATAATTATAGCTATCTATCTGCTGAATTGGGTGTCCTTGCAAATATCTTAGCTGGTTATTCTGTGTTCCTTAACATTAGCTGCACATGGCATAACTTGGGGAGGTTTAAAATATTAATGCCTGATTCCCATCACCAGAGATTCTAGTTTACATGGGCTAGTGTGTAGCCTGGACCTTGGGATTTTTAAAACCTCCCAGGTGACATGTACATGCAGCCAAGCTTGCAAATCATTGTCTATCTTGTATTAGCTTGCATTTAGTACCTCCATTTTACAGATGAGGACACTAAACTCAGGCCGAGTGAATTTCTCAAAGTCATGTGGCTGGTGAGTAGTAGAGAAAAAGATTTGCACTAGGTCTGTTCACAGTTCTCATTGGTGGAAGTTTTGAGACCAAGTTAGAACAAAAGGCTGGTTACATGTGAAATATGTTGTAAGGAAGTTTCCCAACTGGGCAGGAGACTGAGCTGGTCAGGGGATTCCAACTTTTCTTACTGATGGGAATTTTCTGGGGTTTCCAAGCCTCTTCTCCAGAAATGGATTCAACTGTAGTCGGTTGAGGGTTTAATGGTTTTGCTGATGTTGTTGTTAGTAAAAGTTTTGGCTGATTCTTATACTAGGGAAGCCAGGGAAGCACTGGACTGGAAAACTGCTGTAGGATCCTGGGATTCAGTGATCCATTCTGCAAATCCTTCTAAGGAAAAGCCAGAGGACTGAAAACATGTGGCACAAATGACCTTGCCACTAAATACTTTTGTGGTACAGGCTCTGCAGGTTATCCTGACCCCAGTGCTTTGGGGCTGCTGTTACTGTATCCATTCTGGCAACATCGGGACTGATGCGTTTTACACAGTGCTGGTCCTGCTGGGTCATTGGAGCCCCTTTCTCTCCTCTCAACAGTTGATTGTGCTTATCTCTGCCCAACTCTACCCTGTGTTTAGTGATGTCACCTTGGTGGCTTGAAATTGGCCACCATGAGTTTTTAAATTTTTATTTTCTTTTTTTAAGTTTGTCTGTTTATTTATTTATTTTTTTAATTTTATTTCAAGAGAGAGTGTGAGCAGGGGAGAACCAAAGAGAGACAGAAAGACAGAGAATCTCAAGCGAGCTCCACACTGTTAGCACAGAGCCTGATGTGAGACTCGAGCCCACAAACTGTGAGATCATGACTTGAGCAGAAATCAAGAAGATTTAAATCAGAGGTTTTACCAACTGAGTCACTCAAGCACCCCTAAAATCTTATTTTAAAACAAACTTTCATTTTAGAATAGTTTTAGATGTACAGAACAGTTACAAAGGTAAAATACAAAACCAGAGGTTTCTCATATTCCTCTCAGTGGGAGTTTTTACACCAAAGAAATCAGCAAATGGCAAAATCAGGACTCCACTCCTATCCCCATTCCCTATTTTCCAGGTCATTTTTAAACATTTAGCAGCACACCACTGCGTAAGCATCTAAAACTGCTTCTACAGGGTGATAGCATTTCTGACTGGAAAGGTCAAATTTTTGCTTAAGAGATATTTTCCAATTTTGCAGATTTTCTGTTTTGTGAGATCCTCACTTTAAACAATATCCCAATCTAGGAAATATATACTGAAAGTATGAAAGATGGAATGCAATGCTACTTCTCCCTGATAATTTTAAGCAATGGTGAACATAATGGGGAAAAAAAAACAATGAAATGGTATCTATATTTTAATCTCATATTACTAAAGAGGTAGATTAGGTAAATTTGATCTGAAGAAAACTTGTAGAAAGCCCATGGGCTTCAACCTCACCCTCTAGATATTAATGGATTTGTAATGATTTCATTTTTTATGAAGTGCTTACATAAATAGGACTTCACTGCAACCCACCACAGAAATTTACTTCATTGCAGTTAAATATTTCTAAATTTCCATCCTGGAGACTTTATGACATGATCAAATATTTTAAAAAGTATTTTTAATGTTTATTTATTTTAAAGAGAGCAACAGAGCATGCACAGGGAAGGGGGAGGGGCAGAGAGAGAAGGAGATACAGAATCCAAAGCAGGCTCCAGGTTCCAAGCTGTCAGCACAGAGCCCGATGTGGGTCTTGAACTCAAGAACTGTGAGATTGTGACCTGAGCTGAAGTCAGACGCCTAACCGACTGAGCCACCCAGGCGCCCCTGATCATGATCAAATATTTTAAGGGTTTTTGAAAGGTTTCTGTTTAGAAAACAAAAATGCTGGCCAATTATAAAAGCCATATTACATGTGACATCAGAGTGAACTTAGTGAAATCTAACTCCTGTGTCAAAGATAAGGCCATTTCTAAAGTGCTCCAAAATAACATTTCCTTCCTACACCAGTTCAGAATGATACTTCCTCCTTCTGATTTATTGCTGCTCCTCCTCTTCCCCCACAAACTATTTATCTGGCATTTAATACCAGGAGACTTGTATTTTGCAAGGTTGGTTTTTAGGTTTCTGAGGAGAGCTCCTGTTTTGTTATCAATATCTTGCCTTGATATTTATTTTAATCATGTTATTTTATTTCTCTTACACAGACTTCTTAGAATCTCAAATTCTGTAAAATCTTATGGTGTGAAGAAATTTTAAAGCTCATCTTTAAAGCTCATCCTCTCAAAAAGCCACCACCTTGTAACTCTGTCATCACTGAGGCATAGCTGACTTTGTGGCCTGGGCGGTCATGCAGGACTCCATATTCAGGAGGACCTCGCACTTGGCTTAATGCTCCACTGTTGTGTCTTGAAATTCTTAATAACTTTTGAGCAATGAACTCTGAATTTTATTTGGCAACGGGCCTATAAATTATGTAGTCAGTCCTTCCTGCAGCTTCTGATCACTTGAGGACACTGAGTACATCTTTCCTTTCTTCGTAATAATCCATTGTCCAAAATGTAATTACTACTCATTAAATATTTTCTGATTGTGTGGAGTAGACTCCCCAGTGATCCTTGCTGATCCCACCAAGGAAGATAGAGTCTAGGGGTATATATAATCTCTCTGGATGTAGAATGTTTTCACAGTGGTGAGGGCTTTTATTGTGTAATTAAATGTTTGATATTAGCCACAGAAAAGAAGACTTTTGGGGTAAATAGACACATTACATTATTTTACAAGGGAAATAACACTGAAGACATTTTTTATAATTCTAAAAATTAATATTTTAGGCTTTGTGTTGAATGTTGGTAATAATAATTTACATTTAAACTATAATACCAACATCAGGAAAAATCCAACTGAGATTTCTTGTCTCATTTTCACTTAAGCCTGAAGGTATTAAAAACACCAGTTGGCAAATGTAGGTTTGAATAATCAATTAGCAAAGCCTAAACCATTCCTTAATGTGTCAAGAAAATTTAAAAAAAAAAGAAGAAAAGATTTTTATTAGAGACTCACACTGAGCTTGCACTGCTCAGTGGGAAACCTCAATCAGCTCGTTATTGTGTATGTTATTTTCCTTCATTGGTAAGTTAACAACATTGAAAAATAAAATAATGAGCAAGCCAGTGGTCTTAGGTCTGTACCCTAAAAAAAACAACAAAAGATCTGCCACCAGTTATTTAAAAGCTAACAGACTCTTATGAAAAATGGAGCCTTTGATTACTGTATTTTAATACTTGCACGTGAAGATGGTGAGCTTGCATGACGTGGAAGAGAAATGCTCAGTGTCAAGATAGCACCTCGAATACTGAGGTATGGTATAAGCAGTTTTATTTGTGCCCTATAAACATATCCCATTTTTGCAATTGAGAGGTGCATAACTGAATGAAAGAAAATACTTAATCATATAGTAATACTGCCATAATGGTGTATTGATTTGTTAAATGGGTAATGACACTCTTCTATGTTTAGAGAATGAATAGACCAGAATCTTTGATATCTACTGATTTAATTTAGCCTGCTCTGAAATCATATAATTGAAGGAACTAGCACTACATTATATTGTATAAGCTATCTATACAGAATAGTAAACTCTGCAGGGACATATAAAGCATTACACTAGCAATGATTACTGTAATATTGAAAACTTGCCCTTTCTGACTATGCTGGCAGTTTTCTATTCAAACTCCAGGTTACTGAATAGTGGGTCAAATTGTCCCTTTGTCATTTTTATCTATTCAAGTTTCGTGCTGAGAAATATTACAGTGTAAGTGTTCAACAGTAAATAATATAATGATTTCCACCTAGTTTGCCTAAAAAGAAACCATTTATCTGGCACTGAAAACTGTGGGATTTTCAGGAGTCAGACTGGATGCATGGATAAGTGTTATCAAAAGGGGCAGCGTTTTGAATTTTTAAAAGGTAAGGAAAAATTATAAGCTAATTTTTTGTTTAAACATTAGAGATTTATCATGTGGAAACATTTAAAATGTATTAAATATAGTAACTTTAGAAAATAAGTTAGTTTACAACTTCTCAAACAAATATCACATTCTGTTTTAAATAATGATAAATCATACATTCATCACTTTCTTTAGTGGACTGTAGTTCCTAGTGAAGTAATGTCTGTACATTTTTTGCATATATTTCTAGAGGGAATGGTTGAATTATTACAGAGGTGGTAAAAACTGTGAAACTGCGATAACCTGACGAAGTAACTACTCAAATCAGCCAACAGGAAGATCAAAACCACTGACACTGTGTGAAAAAGACGTGAACAGAAATAATGAAATGTTCATTTTGGTCTTCTATGGACACATTATATTTCACGAGAATTTTTTTTTTTTTGAATCCTCAAATTTCCCCCATGCTAGCAATGTAAGAGACTAGAGACTAGCTATCTCAGTGAATGTAACCCCTGGACTACACCTAAGCTATGTATCAAACATGCTTTCCCACTGGCACACATCTGTCAGTTTACATCCTCTGAATATTTTTTGGAAGTATATAGGTTGATGAATTTCAAAGTATGTCTGTAGTATCTACATTTCATTTCTAGAAATCACACATAAGTTAGGCTCAAAAGCAGTCGGCTGGCTGCTTGCATGCTGTTATGGGAATCTTGTTGCTTCTTGGGGAAAGCTGATCCACGCTAAAGTAGAAGCAGAGGGCCATGTGGGCACTGGGGCGGGGCCCTTTCTGGCAGGCTCAGGGACAGGCTACCTCACCCTGCAGAGCAAGAAAGGATGAAACCTGAAGGCCAGATTTTTGGAAATGTTATCTGAAATCTGAAAACAGACTTACCATGAAATGAAACGTTTTCTCATTAAACTAATGACTGGAGAACAGCTGTTGACTTTAGTTCAGTGAGCTTTGGGGCTTTCTCTTATTGCATTTTTCATCATGTACAAGTGTTAGTGTAAGGATAAAGTCTTGGGCTTGCAGTTAGGTGACCTGAATTCAATTCCCTTTCCAGTGCTAATAGGCTACGTGATCTTCATCAAGCCTTTCCTCTGTCATACTTCATTGCCACTTATGAAATAGGGACAGTAATAAGGTGTCTTTTAGAGATTTTGTAATTTTTGTTGCAGCTATTGTCTTGAAAGGGATATAGATTCACTACTTTTATTAGATGATTGCTTGTCTTTTTCTTCTGATTTGCTACTTCAAGACGTGTGCTATTCATACACACACACACACACACACACACACACACACACACACATTTTTGTGGCCAAATGGAAAATACTTGTGGCTAACCCTCTAGGCAAAGGTACCTCCGTGTTTAAGAACATCTAAAATGTCTCTGTGTAAGTCTTCATGCATATTTTTTTTCAGTCACAGAGAGTTTATTTGATTTTGAAGTTCGTATTCCCTACTCTGTATTTATAGGTATATACTGCACACACCCTTTGGTTAAATCTCAGTTTACAGATTATTTTTGCTCACATCAGAGGATCTGTTAGTTTGCTTTGGTTCATAAAAGTCTGCATTTAGTTTGTAGAAAAAATTTAAAAAATGTGACCTTTAGAATTAAACTTACTCTGAGCTAAAGGTAGTGTGTCAATAGATCCCTTTCCTGTGGTTACACAATGGTTTTCTTTTATGAAACAGAGACTGTTTCTTGCTTTAATGATATTAAACTGCATAGATTCCATTTCTGCTAAGACAGCACATGAAAAAAACTGGATATGCCATGATTTTTATTTATTTATTAAGCCCAATTTGCATTCAAAATAGTGTGGGAAGTTGGAGAAAATCCTCAGAATCTGTATTTTTACAGAAGGTAAATATGGAGGGTCTTTAAGCTACCAGGCTGTTGAATTTGAAGTCAGTCCTCCTGACTAGATTGTGCTGTTTCTATTAAAAGACCTCGATAGGCTCTATTATTCCAAATACTTGCTTTCTTCCTATTGTGGTGTAACTGACTTTATCCCATTTATTGAGGATTCACAAAGCTTAGTGCCGGGTTAAGATAGTAAGGGCATGTATCTAACTACATCACTTATTTTGCAAGTTGAAATATAAAAGGTTGGAGTAAGATCTAAACTACCATGAAAAATGGGATTTATTATCAAAAGCTAGAATGTGGTAACGAGCAGATGTTCATGAAATTCACTGGTCTTACCATGTTCCCTGTCATCCTGGAAGCTTGTCTGATAGGACGGTAACATGGCCTTTTAAAGACTCAGTTACATTGCCAGATTCAGTTACAGTGCATTCCATACACTGCAAGCTGTGTATGCTTGAGAGTTGTATATGCCCTGTGTCAGCACTGTGCTGTCTTTCTCCCAGACAGTATCACAGGTCCAAAAATCAAGGGGTGTGAATGGGAGTGGCACCATTCTCTATTACCCCTAGTGACCCACTGGCAAAACTTTTGCTACTTGTTCTTGTAACTTTATGCTCTGCTGGCCTACAGGTCTTATTTGAAAGGGAGGAATGCCTCCACCAGGACACATAACAATGATTCCGCTGAACTAGACTTTAAGACAGCCACCTAGCCACTTTGGACTCCTCATTTCTCTGAATCAACAGGGGAAGAGAGGATTTACTCTGCTGGCTGGCGTGATTGATCCTCACTACCAAAGGAAACTGGATTACTATTCCCCAATGGAGGGAGACATATATCTGGAATATAAGAGATCCCACAGGGTGTCTCTTACTATTACCATGTCCTACAATTAAAGTCAATAGAAAACTACAACAACCCAACTCAGGCAGGAATACTAATGGCCTAGACCCTTCACTAATGAAAATCTGTGTCACTACACCAGATAGAGAATCATAGCCAGCTGAAGTGCTTGTTGAGGGCAAAGGGAATGGGTAATGGAAGAAAGTGGTTATAAATATCAGTTACGACCACATGACCAGATACAGAAACGAGGCCAATAGTTGTCAGGAGGATTTGTTCCTTATTTTGTTGTGAATTTGTTTGTGTATACACACACACACACACACACAAAGAATATTTGTGTTTTCTGTCTTTTCTTATCTCTATCACATAAGATATATTCACTGTATGTCATAGTATCTAAGAATTGTTGCCTTTACAACAAAGTAAGTTGCAAGAAGATATCAACAAGTAAAGTAAACATTACCCAGGGACTTTGCATCATGTTCTGATGAAAGATTTAGAACATTTTCAGTTGTAAATAGGATGCTTATGTCATGTTAAGTGGGAATATAACATTGTTATTGTTATTGTCATTGTCTTTATTTGGAGACTAACAGTGGTTTAAGATGTTCTTAGGTGCCAGGTTGACAAAGAGTGGATTTGTAATGGTTAATTTCATGTGTCAAACTAGTTAGGTCACATTAACCATATATTTGGTCAAGCATTTTTCTAGATGTTTCTGTGAAAGTATTTTTTAGGTAAGATTAACATTTGAATCAGTAGCCTTTGAGTAACGCACATTATTTTTCATTATGTGGGTGGGCCTCATCAATAGTTGAAGGTCTTAATTTCAGACATCTCTAGAAGAAAGAAAAATCCTTCAAGAAGACTGTATTTCAACTCTATATTGGCTCTGTCTTGGGCCTCCAGCTTTCCTGTCTAATCTGCAGATTTTGAACTTGCCAAGTGCCCATAATTACATGAACCAAATCCTTAAAATAAATTTATCTTTGTCTACTGTACCCTCTAACACAGAGAGTGATAAGTAGATCGCAACAAGTTTTTTTTTTTTTTTCATTTGTTTTTGTTTGTTTTTAGGGGATTTACTACAAAGAGAAAAGATGTAGTGAAGAAGGGAGATTTGGGGGGGATAGTGTTTAATAGGAAGGACTCTAAAATCCAGGTTTACTTACCAGGTAGTTGCTTGAATTTGGCCAAGTTCCTTTACCTTGTTGAGCCTTCTTATTCATCTACAGAGTACATATAATGATGTCACCTCACAGGGTTGTAGTTGGAGTTAAAAACATAAAACAATTCTCAGAATATTTTTCTGTAACTGGTGGGTGTAGCAGTTTTAAAACTTTAAATTCTTTGACATTCCCTGAGCGCTTTTTCTCACTTGAACCTGGAGTTATTGTAACTTCTCTGAGCAACAGAGTTTGCCGAAACTAATGATATGTGACTTTTGACACTGGGTCAAAAAATGTCATGCTGTCTTGTGCTCTTGGAACACTGAGACATCATGTAAGAAGTCCAACTACCCTGAAGCCACACACCATGCTGGAGAGGCCCTGTATAGATAATCTAGCCAACAGCCCTGGTTATGCCCAGCCTTTCAGCTGTTCCAGCCAAAGCTCCAGCATGTGAGTGAGGAAGGTGTCTGGCAAAGCTATTCTCTAGCCCCAGCTTTCCAGATCCCCCTTCCCCAACCATTTCAGGCTTCCCAACTACAACCTGTGTATCAAGAAGCAGAGATCTGTGTGTAGATTCCTTACTAAGTCTACATTTATTCTATACATTTATCCTTACTAAGACATCAGAAAAAGAATTCTTAGGTCTGCACTTTGATTTCCCTATATAATAAATGTAAATAACAGTGATGATAATACATTCACTATAGGTTTGCTATGAGAGTAACATACAATAGCTGGTGTGACATGCTTATTACCCTACTGGACATGATAACAACCACCTATATTCCTATTTTCCTGTTACTATTGCTGTGAAATATAGCACTCCAAACTTAGTATATAAGATCTGTGTGGCACTGTGACTTCCCCAGAGGCTAACATCAGTTCAGATATGGGCCTTGAGGAGGCCAACTTGGGGATGAGTTGAATGTTGGAGTAGTAGTATCAGTGTGCTAGAAGCAGGGAGTGAAATAGGGGGATAGGATAATTTATTCAGTCATATAATAAATATTATTTCTATCTACTATGTGCCAAGACCTCTTAAATAATTTTTTGGAGAGTCAAGGAAGCTGGTGAGGTAGGGTCTAGAGGAGTTGGGATGAACCGCCTCAGTCGATGGGATGAAAGTCTGAATGAGACCAAAAACAACTGCATGAGAGTAAGGAAGCAAGAGACCTAGTACATGAGAGACTGTGGTGAGAGAGGGAGACATTAATGTTTAAAATACCAAACGAGTAATATATCTTGCTGGTGACAAGGTCCTGAAATGGAGTAGCTATCTTTAATGGAGTGGAGGAAATAGTAGATATGAGAATTCAAGGAATGCTGAGGATAAACATTATATTTGCACAGTCCTCTTGACTATCACGTTGCTGGACATAAAGATAAGGTGACTACTATGGATGGAATGCTCAGTGGTCCACTCATATGATGAAATCCTAACCCCTAAAGTGATAGCATTAGGAAGTGGGACCTTTGGGAGGTACTTAGGTCAAGAGACCAGAGTCCTTATGACTGGGATTCGTACCCTTATAAAGTGGAGGCCCTAGGGGGCTTGCTTCCCCTGTCTCTGGCCTCTACCATTGAGGGTATAGGAGAGACATCCATTGCAAATGTCTGCTTATGAAGAGTCCTCTGCCAGAAGCTTCATCTTGAACTTCCCAGCCTCCAAAACAGTGAGAAATAAATGTCTGTCATTTAAGGCACATAGTCTATGTTATACTTGTTATATAGCAGACTGAGCTAAGACAGTGACCTTTAGGGTAGGCTTTTATAGATGAGTAGGATGCTTCCAGATAAAACATATGAAAAAGCATATTATAGTCACAGGGAACAGCTTCAGTGAAGGATACGAAAGCCCTTTGAGCCACACTCGCCTAGCTACTGCTTTAGAAATAGTGGCAATAGGAACTGTTTTCACAAGGGATACGAAAGGCTTAGCTTTATCCTGGGTAGAAGTCCTTTCTGAGTGGTAGTTTTTTTCATACATTTAATAATATTAGATGTTTGAATGAGATCAAACTCTGTTTACAGTGTCAAAATAATTTACTTAATTGTGAATGTTAGCACACCAGTAATAAAAATGTACACTGAGAGTCTGAGAAGTTATGTGAAAGTATTTGACACTTTTAATAGAACTATGTTCTAAATTCTTCTTTTCACACACACAGAGAGGGAGAAAGCACTCTTGACTTGTAGCCAAATAATATTAGCAGTGAAACATGAATGTACATGCTTAATTTAGACCTGGGGAATCATCCGACAGCTGGAAGAAGGTTATGCTTTTCCCTCTGTATGCTAAAGAACACAAACAAATGGCTTTATGAGTTCATAATTCACAGTGTATCATATCAGTCTGAAAACACAGAATGTTGGTAACAGTTTGGCTGGAATCACTCTACAGAGTGAGGTGCCGCAAAGACAATGATGGCACGTGAACATCCTACTACTAACTGTCACCTCTATTCATCATGCTCATCAAGCAAGCCTGAGCCCTGTGTCCTGATGTGGGGTCAGGAGGGCACAGTGATACTGAGCAAAGGGGGACAGCAATTGGGTTCACAGCAACCAGCAGATCACAAAAAAGGATTGCCCGAAGTGCCTGTGTTCAGCCTGCTGTTCAGGGGAGCTCATAGTGAAGCAGGGAGAAGCCAAGCTTCTGGCAAGTCTGGATGTGCCAGCTGCGAAGCCTTTCTGATGCATGGCCTACAACACTATCTTCCTGTTTGCTCTTTCTATAGTGTCTGCTTTCATTTAGTCATCAGCCCACATCAGGGCTGCTTCACAGTCTCTTAATTGATTTCCTTCTCTCCTCCGGACAATTTACTCACTCTTCAATGTATGTTTCTCAAGAAGAGTTACCATAATTTCGTTCTTGAGTAAGGCAGAGGTTGCCATTTAGCTGAAGAATATACTTCCCCGCTTCCCTTGTAGCTAGACATGGCCAAGGGATGAGATTGTGTCCAAGGAGACATGCAAAGAATGGATGGGTGCAAATTCTGGTTTATGGACTTGGAAAGGAAAGGACTATGTTCTCCCCTGGCCTTTTGTACTTGCCCTGCTGACTGAAATGCAGGTATGATGGGGGAGGGAGGGAAGGGATGGCACCAAGTGGATCCACCTGTTTAAGATGGCAGAGCAACAAGACAGATGAGGATATGCCCTGCTGGCACTGGACTGCTCATTCTCAGATCTTTTGTGCTGAAAGAATAGTCTTTCATATTGTTTTGTCCTTATCTGTGGCCTATTTTCTAAGGTACTGTGTTTACCATCCTCATTGACTCCCTATTGCTTAAAGGTAAGTCCTCCCTGAGGAGCACATTTAAAGTTCTTTGGAATCTAATTGCAGTTCACTCTGCAGCTCAATTCCCTGTCACTTGCCATGGGAATACACTCCTCTGGCCGAATTAATCCTCCATTTTCACCAAATAAACCTTTACACGGTGCTTTTACATACACTGTTCCCTCTTCTCTTGACCCATCCTTCAAGGCCTAGTGCTAAAGTCACCACTTCTGCTTTCCTGGAAATCGTGCAACAGTTTTCCCTGGCAGACTTCATTTCTTCTTCCTCAGGGCTTCAAAAGTGTGCCCTTTTGAAGGGTGTGTATCACATTCCCTTATAATTTCTTGCATTATAATTTTTGTTTATCACCCTCACTAGGGATTATTCCATTACATCTTACTGGCCAGAAGATTATACTCCACCTTTCATCTTGTTACAGGCAAAGAGAATGGTGGATAATCAGGAGGACACAAACCCAAAAATCTATCTTTCTTGAGGAGCAGAACCTGTTTGCAAAAAGGAGTGGAATAAACGTTGGGGGTGCTTGATGTTCTTTTCAACTACAATGCCTTTGACAACAGCAGGGAAACCAGGAAATCGAACAGCATGGGGTAGATGCCTTTGGTTACTGGACTCAAGCTGGAAAAACAGTCCCTGACAGGCTACAATCATTATTGTGTCTTTCTAGTACTTTGAAAGATAAGGAGGAAATCTGCAGAGTAGTCCCATAGGAATAGGAAGGAATCAGTCCAGTGTAGTCCCTGAAAACAGTCATGTCTTGTTTCACTGGATGTGGAAATGCTCTCCTATGTATCTGACTTCCACAGCTGCCCTTTGACACTCCCGTTCCTGACATATATGACTACAGCAGACCCACTCTATGCCAAGTGTAAAAGTCACAGCCAATGCATTTGGTTTAATCTGCTTAATCGCATGCTTAGCCTTAGCAGAGAAATGTTTTCAACATATGCAAATGAACAATCTATGTGTCTTAGCATTTTACATTTCCACTGAAAAACACTTCTCTGCTCTGAGCTGTGCCCCAAATATTCAAGCCCTATGAGAAGGGTCTATGGATTAGACTGTTATTGTTTCTAGTTTAGGAAAACATGAGATTACAGGAAAGCAGTGTGAATTTCTAAAGTTACAAACTAATTCTGAATATAAATTTTGAAATGAAAACCGATGATATAGTTTCTGTTCCTCACCCCTCCCCCACCGCCAATGTCTGAATAAGCTTAATATAGTAGGGAAAGTAGATTCTGTTAAGAATGAATGGAAGATGGTTAGGTAAACATGGTGGTCGAGAACACAAGTTCTGAGGTCAGAGTGTATGGGTTGGTGGCCTGGTTCCCAGGATACTAAAGCCTGCTATGCTTTAGTTTCCTTATATGTCATGTGGAGATACTATTACCGTCACCTCATAGGCCACTTATAAGTGAGATAAATAAATAAGTTCTTCTTTTATTGCTGGTACACAGTACAATATATATCAGCTCTCTCCATTATTATTTTATGTAACATTCATTTGTCAATTAATACTCTTTTCCTTGACCTCTTACGCAGTCTGAGGCAATGGACTGTTCCAAAAATCCTATCATATTGGTGGGACTGGTGACCTTATAAAAAGAAAATGTCAAGAATTCAATATCTCCTTTTGTGGTATGCTACGATATGAACTAGGAGAATTTAAGTTGATGTCTAAGTAATAACTCCACATGGGATTTTGAAAAAGAACAAAGTTCTATTATGTTGGTTCTTCTGAGTGTGTGAATCAAACTGGCATATGGTGGAATTCTGTAGGTAGGATTCTGTAGGTGGTAGTGGATAAAATCATAAATGCGTTGGAGGAGAAGGGCTCTTAAAATTAACCCACACAGTGTTTTTGGCACCTATCTTCATCCTGGCCACCCCTGAGACAGTGCAAGGGTTTGAAGTGGATTTATGCCCACATTCTTCATGGCATAATTTAAAAGAATTTAGGCAAAATATGCTGCCACAATGAACACACACTCTGTTTTATGAATGGTCTGTTTATTGCTGTGGTTCCACACAGCTAGAACAAACTGGTCTAAAACAGTCAAATTGATGCAGAGTCACGAGGCTGTGCTTTAAATCCATTCCTCACTCCTAAATCCACTTTCAGCTACATTAATGAGTAGATACGGCAATGAAATATACCTGGTTGCGCACCTTTTGAACAGCTCCTAGATGTCACTATTTAATGTGGAGTGTGAAGGAATCAATGTGTTCCTCCGGCCCGTGTGGGTCTGACTGCAGGAAATAGCAGCTCAATCTTTGAAGCAAAGACTTTTCCTCTGCTTCTCAGAGTAAATAGCCCGCGAGAGCTTCCTCACTCCAAGGAAGTCTAGATAAGTGTGTGATAGGAAGGGAGGGGCCTGCCTCTTGTGCTGTCAGAACAGCACCTGAAGGAAAGCAGCTGGCTCCCGCTGAGTGATAAGGCTAAGGTTACTGAGGCAGAGATAAAAAGCTCACTGGGCCAAAGTACATTAAAACCGAAAGAGCCCCAATCGGAGATTTTAGCATTGCATCCTAAGCCTTTCTCTGAACAAAATGACTGTTCTGTGGCTATTCTGTGGTTTTATTTATTTATTTGTTATTATTTTTTAAAAGGAATGCAAGAAGTATACTTCACTAAGAGGAACAAGTGCAGAACACACACACACACACACACACACACGCACACACACACACTCCCTTGGAAATGGTTTCACTAGCTGTAGATGCCTGACTCCTTCCGCGGTGTGGAAGGAGTCTTCTCTTTAAGAGAAGAAAACATTGCAAAGGACCAGGATGGACAGGACAGAGAATTTCATTGCTTGAAGCAGGAATTTTTATCTTTCCAGATACAGGTGTTGGTGGTGGTGATGCTGGTGGTGGTGCTAATTCAGTGAGGGAGCTTGAGGAATAAACACCTAGGCGTACACGGCCATGGAAAACTTCACTACCTCAATACTGTAGTGGGTCTCTAATCAACACTTTAAAACTCCTGCCTGCTTTTGATACACATTCACTTCTGAGGCACACTCTTCCCTTTGAAGTTCTCTCCACTGCCCCAGTGGTGTCTCCAGAGTGAAGATTTTGGGGGCTTTATTTTCTCTGGTTTCCCTTCCTCCTGAAACTTAGTTTGCCCTGCCCACAAAACACAAAATTATATTATCACTGTGACCTGTCTCCTTTCATACTGTATGTGGAACACTCCTTTATACCATACTGTTGGGGTTACCATCCTCACCTTTCCTCACCCCCATGTTTTCTATCAAACTTTTTTTTTTAAAAGACATACAGGCTTCCTGACACAGTTTGACAAGAAAAAGCAGTGGAAGAACTAGTAAAATATCAAGGCTTGTCTGAAAGAGATCTAACAAAATATGTGTCGTACCAAGGGGGTCTTCTTAATGGGAGATGCTTGTTACTTCCATCTGTTAAAGAACAAACAGATATTCCCTCTCTTGCTAGTTTCTTTGAGATGCCACTTCAACTTCTGTATTTCTTCCATGCCTCCCATCAACGATCCATAGTGTAGCAATAAATCCTGAACAAGAATTTGAATTTTGTTTACCCACTGCCAATTCAGATCTGTCTTAATGAACAAGGCCATCAGGGGGAGCTCTTTGAGAGAGCTTCCGTAGGGGTTAGGGGAAAGATAACGCCAGACATTAACAGGATAGCAGATGTGCAGGACCATTATTCCCTGCATGCTGGGGACACAAAGGTCACCTTCCCCCCAGACTTGCTGGGTAGGCATAGAAGGAGCTCAGCAAAAATGAGGAAATGGTCAAAGTTTTAAAGGAAATGAGCATGGGCCAACAGCTTGACGGCTGGATGGACAGGTGATTTTTGAATGCAGAACAGCGGGCGCGCCGTTATCTCCAGGCATCGTTTTTAGAAATCTAGACTTGGAAACATGGATGAAAGGGAACCCAGCACAAGCCTTTAGCCTCTGGTGGTGGTCCACTGACGCGGTAAGTAAGGGAGGGAGGTGAGCAAGAAACAAGGATATTTTTGTTGGAACCAGCACAGGGTTTGTTAAGGCAGAGTCCAGGAATAGCTAATGTAGAAGACCAGATTATTAGTTTACAGAATGACGAAGGAAATGGCAGATGCCGCAAAATGGAAGAAAGAAAAAAAAAAAACGCATATATGAAACTTCCCAAGACCTCTTTGAGCCAAGGAGGGATTTAAAGAGCCCAGAGGATCCAGGGAATTTGCTCAAAATGGTGAGTCAAATTTACTGTTCTAAAGTTGTATTAAAACCCGGTCATCTAGTATGACTTGGGACAGAGTGTGTTAAATGTGTCTGCACACACATCAAACAGTAGCATCTATACATTCCTTCACAAAGACAGTATATGTAGAGCTTCAAATATGGTGAACGCCCATTTCCAATAAGTCCAAATCATCATTCCGCACACTCCCCACCCCCACTTTAAACCATGTTTTCCTTGGTAAAAACAAAATTGAGAATGAGCAAGAGAAAAACAAAAGTGTAGCTTTTTTTCTTTCGGATGTCGGTAAAGAATTCTACATAAATGCCGCACTTACCTGTCTACGGTCTTCCACAAAGACACAGTGGAGAAAACCGTCCATGAAGCTAAGTGGTAGTGTTGCGCGTGGCGGAGTGACTGGCAATTGCGGCGAGACGGTTCCGACCTTGGCCTTTGCTCCGCGGAGCGCAGAGCCTGCTAAGAGAAGGCCTATGCTGCGCGTGCGCAGTCCACCCGTGCCGTCTTCAAAGTGCGTCAGTTGTTTTGAAACAAGATGGGTTAAAGCGGCTCTGTGCGCAACCAACTTTTCCAATTTTGTGGCTCGAAGACAACCTGCGTGCAGCCTTTCCTTCTTTCATTTTCTTTTCTTTCCTCTTCTTTTCTTCCTTTTTCTTTTCTTCTTTTCTTCTCTTTATCCCCCCCCTTTTTTTTTGATGAATCAAATTTACAAACATTTTGTTTATATTTGGACACCCTTGTTGGGAGCAATAGGAAAATTGAGGAATTTTGATGACTCCTCTTAAAATATGTTTCCTATCTAAAAAAAAAAAAAAAGGTAGCGCATTTTGGGACTTAATGTAGATGAGTTTAGTCTTTTCAAGTATTTCTTGGTGTTTCAGCCTGATCGGCTAGTTCTGAATTTACAAATGAAAAATTTCAGGATCAAAAAGGAGTCCAGAAGGAAAGAGAGGGTGAGAGAAATGGAGAGAGAATGAGAGACAGAAAGGAACAGAGAAAAGACAATAAAAGGAAATTTATAGAAATATTTAAAGATCAAAATGTTTTTTCTTCTTTTAGTTTATCAATTCCCAGTGCATTCAATTATAACTATAAAAAGTGACAATCATTTATTTAACTAAATGTGAATAACTTCTCATATCTTTTTCTTGCAGAATAGACTTGCTAAGAATCCTTATATATTTTTTTAACTATTTAGTCTTATATATAGTTTCAAAATATAGAAGCTGCCAATTTCATTTACAATCTTCAAATGAAAAAAGAAAAAATAGATATTATGTCATAATGCATTGTGCTTTAATTTAATAAAATCTCCTGAATGCATAGGCTTTATCTGTCTGCAAGTTCCTCAGTCCCTCCATTTTACTGACGAGGAAAATGATGTTCAGAAAGATCTAACATACTCTTATCTATGCATGTGACTAAATGATATATGAATTAGTAACTGAAGCATTCCTTCCCCAAAGACCTTCATGTCTTTAATTGCAGCCTTCTCCTAATTCTTCAATTTCAAGTTAAGGCAGAAAAGATATAGTCTGGGTGTCTCACAAAAAGTATTTGCAGAGAGCCATTGCTGACCAACTTAACTGCTCTCACATGTGATTTGTTCCAGGTGCCTCAGAGTTGGGCAGGAAGGAGTGATGAAGGGCAGAAGGGGTCCTCTGAATTGGTGCAGCGTCTGCACAGCCCAGTCCTCCCCGTTGGTGGTGGAGAGGCCTGCAGTCAAGAGCAGAAGTTACCTGTGACCTGCTGTCAGTCCAGAATTCTGGTTTCTGCAGCCTCACAAAATGCTAATGTTACACTGTCTTGAGGCTGTAGAAAGGAGGTGACTGAGTCAGGGCTCAGAGGTTCTGAAAACAGCACCATGTCTTCCTCTTCAAAGAGAATTTCTGTAGAATCTATATTTCTTCATTCATTCATTCATTCATTCATTCATTCAACAGATACCCACAGAGAATAGAATCTATGTAGGACTGAGATTCAGCAGTGCACAAAAGCCATCATGGAGCATTGCTTAGGATGCCATCCCAGTTCCCCCAAAGGTGGGTCTATGTCAACTTGGGCTTGAGGGGTCACAATAAAAGGCAGTAGCTTCTGACAGCATGAGGGAGTAGCAAGCGGCCCGAAGGAGACAAGGCTACTGCCATGGGTGGCAGCAGAGACGCCATCAACAGGACAGGCTGATTCTCTGTATCCCCCCAGATGCCTGATAAGACAGAGATGTGGGCATCCCTTGTCCCACTAACTCACATCTGTCTATATTCTCTGAAGCTTAGGCTCAACCCCAGTCAGAAAGACTGAAAGGGGGGAAATTAGTGAATTTGAGAAGAAATTAGTAAAGTGATAGAGTAATTTGGAAGTCTCTGAAGTAACTGAGTGTTCTTGGAAATAATGGAATTGCCTTTTTTTTGGTGGGGAAACCTTAGGTAAAATTTAAAGAATACCATTTTTATGCTCAGGTTTGTGGTCTGTGAAAAATATGTGTGTCACAGTGACAAAAACAAAAATCAAAACATCAAAACACAGAACTGTATTGAGTAACTGTATATATATATATATATATATATATATATATATATATATATATATATATATAAAATTTCCAGAGGAGAAACTTTTCAGGGAAGAAACTCCTGGTAGACTGCCCAGAGGAGATGGGGGATTTGAACTCAGGGTTGTCTGATTCCCAAACTTGAGATTTATTTTTTAGAGGCTGTAGAACCGTAGGCTCATTAACTCATGATAGTGATGATACTAATTATTTGTGAACATGAGTGTCTTGGGTATACCAATCTAGAGAAGGTATATCCACTAAATGGAAGAATTTGGCACTTGTCAACAGATGCTGCAGAATCCTGTAGGATGGCTGGTGCACTCCTTAGGGATAGATGGGGGGGATTTAAGTTTGCTAATAGAATTTACAACTTAAAGCACCGAACTGAGAATATGCTAATAATATTAAAGTTTATATATTTCTATGCTTTAAATAATGTCAGTGTTTGAGCCTGTGAATAACTAACTCTTTCTTTGGCAATCAAAGAGGTAGCAGAGGTAAGAATATGACTCTCAGATGGATTACTATTTTTATTAAAAGTTAACTCATAGTACTGAAACCACTCCATTGGAATAAATCTAGTCTAATAAATATTCCCTAAAGTAAATTTCAGCTAAGCCACAGTTATTGTTTCAAGCTCATTTTTGTGATGGGGCCAATTACATTTTTATTTAGGCAGGGTTACATAAATTCTGAAAACACCAAAGGATATGCCAACAGAAAGAAATATGACCTGTATAGGGAAACCATTGCGTTTGTTTTTGTGTGATTGTGAAGTGTAAATTTACTCAAACCAGGCGCTAACCTAGGAGATGTGTTTTTAATATTTTGAGAATCCTTTTAGAATATAAATCAATGACTGTCGTCTCCTGTTAATTTATGGGAGTGTTCTAATGAAAGTTTCAGTGGAATCACCTATTAATTCAAGTTTGCAGGAACACACACCCTGCTATTCAATCCATGTCTTTTTAGGGATATGCAGTATAGACCATAAATTATAACAGACCTGGACAAATTTTCAGTTTTATTTGCATGATTGAATAAATTTTTAATAAAGTATTTCAATAAACATGCTTTGAAGGAAAAAATAAGTCAAATATTTTGCAAATAGTCTGCAAAGGTAAACTGTGGCAAATTCAATGTTTTACCAGCTTTAATTTAATAATTAAATTAAAATAAAATATTTATTTTAATTTTAATATTAAAAATAATTAAATATTTTCTTCATGGAGAGTCAGAAACAAGGTCCTATGCACTTATTCAAGGTGTCAATATAATAAAAGAGCTTTCTCACATGGCGAGGGGCAATCTGCATCAGCTTCCTATTCTGCCTTCGCTGCCCCAGATTCCACCATTAATAGCAAGCCCTCTGAGTTCGGGTGGAAATCAACATGGTTCTGTGGGTCCCCAAGTGCAACTCAAGCTAAGTCGTCATTTAATAGTGACTTATTGAATAAATAACAAAGATTCTAGAATTTTGAATCTCAATATATGAGTTTCCTGATGCATCCTTACTGTAACTACTGTGACCATTAAATATATTTATATTTATCTTTGAGAGAGAGCACAAGTGGGGGAGGCAGAGGGAGAGGGGGTTCCAAAGCTGTCAGCACAGAGCTTAATGTGGGGCTCAAGCTCACAAACTTCAAGACCATGACTTAGCTCAAGTCAGACGTTTAACTGACTGAGCCACCCAGGCATCTCTATCGTAGCTATCTTTAAAAGCAGGAATAAAGCTCAGAAAAAGAAGACCTCCATACTCCTGTTAGCTGTAGCTTCTCATCCAAAAAACAATCAGGAGGGAAGATGGAAGCAAAAGCTGGAATTTTCACTTACATGCCCAGAGTTTTACTAGGGTAGGAAATTTTCAGAATATGCAAAATGGTAAAATATTGATAGCCTCCCATCCTGGAAGATTGCCTTTCATAAAATGGTAGACAGGCATTGGAAGAAATCAAGCCTTTGTCCTCAGCACATAAGGTATTGATTATAATTAGCAAAAGAGGCCTCTTCTGGGAATATGATATGCATAAAAGCCCTCCCTGCCCTCAGATCTTCCTCAAGATTTTTTGCGTGCCAAATGAAAAGAGGCTTGATTTTGACCTGTATCATACCCCTTGGCCTGTCTTCTTTGTGCATGGCACAACCTGCTTGCCAGTACACAGACGCCCTGCACATAAATTTTATCATTGATATTTCCATAGGTCCTTTTGTTTTGCTTTTGTAGGCAGTAGATAAATTTCTTGGATGAGAGAGTGCCTTCAATGCACGTTTCAAATCATTATTTAGCGTGAAAGTGGTTTTAAAAAAAAAGAAATGGGGTGGGGAGTGTATCAGGGTGGCTCAGTCAGCTAAGAGTCAGACTTTGGCTCAGGCCACCATCTCACAGTTGGTGAGTTTCAGCCTTGCTTGGGGCTCTGTTACAGATTCTGTGTCCCTCTCTCTCTCCGTTCTCCCCCATTTGCTCTTTGTCTCTCTCTCTCTCTCTCTCTCTCTCTCTCTCTCAAAAATAAACATTAAAAGAAAAGAAATGGGAATCCATATATGATATTGTGCTTAAAGGAGAAATGGATATTGACTCAAACCAAGACCTAGAAATAATGTGCAGAAATACATCAGTGACAATCTGGTACTCACATTAGACTACAGAATGAACATCCTCAAGTTTACAGGAGGTAAACAGGCTGCTGTAAAATAAGCCTACTAAAGGATAAACGAGATAAGGATTGGAAATGACCTTTTTACTACATTCAGTGTGCCTTAACCAGTTTGATGCCTTACATTTTCAGAAGATCACTTAAAACATTGAGGAGGTTTTAAGAAATTGAAGTGAAAGAGCGAGGATATTTTCTTCTTCTCAGAAAGAATGAGAATAGACTGTTAGAATTCTTAA